CTCCTGCAGCACCACGTCCCCGACGCGCACGGCATAATGGTACCAGCCCACGACGTGGCCCTGGCTCGACTCGCTGGCCAGGTGGGTCCTCATGTAGTCGGCCACGCCGCGCTGCAGCCCCCACACACGGTACTTGCTGGCCAGCTGGTGCAGGGGGATGGCTTGGTGCAGCAGGATGGAGACCCCCCCGCAATACAGGTACCTGGGGCAGAGTATGGGGAGGTGGCACTGGCGTCCCCTGATCCCCTTCCCAATTCAGTCCCCAGCTGACATGGTCCTCAAGAGAGCATCATCCCTCATTGGTTTCCGCGCTGCAGCCCCCACACACGGTACTTGCTGGCCAGCTGGTGCAGGGGGATGGCTTGGTGCAGCAGGATGGAGACCCCCCCGCAATACAGGTACCTGGGGCAGAGTATGGGGAGGTGGCACTGGCGTCCCCTGATCCCCTTCCCAATTCAGTCCCCAGCTGACATGGTCCTCAAGAGAGCATCATCCCTCATTGGTTTCATCCCTCCCAGCATCCCCATCCCATGAGATCTTTGTAGTCTCCAGAGAACCTCCAGGTTCACCAGGGAAGCATCTCCCCTGCTTGGCTGCATCACTCTGGGCATCCCATCTGGTGAGGTCCCTGTGGTCCCCATGGTCCCCAAAGGAACATTTCCCCTCCTTGGCTGCAGCCCTACCCTTTGAGGTTGCCATTGTCCCTCAAGGAGCTGCATCCCTCCTGATGTCCCCATGCCATGAGGCTCCCACATACCTGATAAACTTATCAAAGAGCGCAGCAGTCTCGGGCGGCTCGTACAGGGTGACAACACTCTGGTTGTGCAGGAGGCTCTCAAAGACCTCGCTCTGGAGGCTGAGCAGCAGCTGGTGGGTGTGGAAGACCTTGGCCTCCTCGGAGGCAGCCGTGCGCACCCGCAGCACCGAGTCGCTGCCGTTGCCGTTCTGCAGCAGCTCCTGCAGCCGCTGCAGCAGCGTCAGCGAGTGGTTGATGGTGGCAGCCGTGGTGTCGCCGCTAACATCGCCTTTCTGGGCTGTGGGGAGAGGGGACCGTCCTAGAGCTGCACCCCAAGAACCAGGGTGGTCAGTAGAATGGGCAGTGCGTGGCTAATGGGGGCTGGGGACGCCTGGCTCTGTGCACATCCTCCCCCTGCTCTGTGAAGGGCCGGCTGGTGCCAAGGGGGTGTGAAAAGGACGAGGGGACACGGGGACATTTTTGTTCTTAGGAGCCAACAAACTGCTTTTCTGCAGCAGAAGGGGTGAGACCACCATGTCCCAGGCTGGGACATGCTGGGAAATGGCCCCGTGCCGGGCAGTGCTGGCTTGCAGCCCGGCCTGCCAGCCCCAATCCCGGCCCCACTGCGGGCAAAATGAGCCCTGGGCATTGCCCCCAGCCCCCCATGTCCTAAATGTGCTGGGGTAGCCATGGGTCTGGGGAGCCTGGCACCCTCTTGTCCCTGGACCCAGGGACAGGGTCCCTGCAGTCTGAGCAGCCTGGGGACAGCAGCTGCCCCAGCATCAGTGCAGGGGGGGGGGAGGGGGGGGCGCAG